TATAAAGGATACCGGTATCAAATTGTCTATAATAAATGATTTAGAAAATGTCATAGATCTTGAAATGCGACAAATTATATTAAATGATTTTCACATTCTCCCTACAGGAGGACATGCAGGGATAAATAGAATGTATAACAATATCAAAAAAAGATATTTTTGGGGAGGTTTGCGTAAAGATATCGAAACTTTTGTGAAAAACTGTGACGATTGTCAACGTTATAAACATTCCATATCGAGCCAATGACTATCACTACTACAGCTTCCTCGGGTTTTTAAAAAATTTACTTAGATTTAGTTGGTCCACTCCCACAAGATTCAGAAAACCACAAATATATTTTAACTTTACAGTGCGAATTAACAAAATTTGTGGAAGCATATCCATTAAAAAATAAAGAAGCGCACACCGTGGCTCAGGTTTTGGTAAATAACTTTATTTTAAGGTATGATATTCCAAATGAAATTGTTTCAGATGAAGGTACAGAATTTCTGGCATGTATCTTAAAAGAAATTTGTCAATATTTACAAATTAAAAAGCTTAATTCAACAGCATACCACCATGAGACACTAGGTGCTCTTGAGAATTCTCATAAAAATCTAGGAGCATATTTGCGAATTCAAGTTTCTAAATACAGCAATGCATGGAGCACATGGATACCTTACTGGTGTTTTGCTTATAACACGACGGTACATACCGAAACCAAGTACACGCCTTATGAATTAATTTTTGGGAAGCTGGCTAAATTGCCCTCAAATTTAATAGACCAAATAGACCCTATTTATAATTTTGATGATTACCCTCTCGAGCTAAAATATAGATTGCAACAAGCATGTAACGATGCAAGAGTAAATTTAAATATTTCTAAAGCTAAAAGAAAATATATGTATGATTTAAATGAAAAATTTGTAAAATATAAAATAGGAGATAAGGTTATGTTAAAAAATATTGGTACCAATTAGTTAGATCCCTTTGTCGTTATAGAGGAGAAATCTCCAAATATTACTATAAGAATTGGAGACAAAAATGTTGAAGTGCACAAAAATAGAGTTAAATTATATAATTGTTAAAAAAAATTATTTATAGATAAATATATATTTTTTTTTTTTTCATTTTCCATGGGAGATGTAATAATATAAGTACTTTTATATATTATCATACTGTATATAATTTGTGTAGTTGTTATAGTTCTTTGAACTTGGATATAATTAGGTTAAGGAATGCATTTTATTATTTAATATTATATTTTATAATGTGTTGATTCGACACTTATTTCGACGACGTAACAATTGTGTAGGTTCGTTGAAATAAGTGATCGAAGAATAAAGGATTCAATAAATAACTTTCGTATAATCGAGTTGATTTTTATTTGCTATTAATAATACATGGTGACGTAAACCATCCACAGACTAGTACCATCACATATGGCTCCATCATGCATAAACTATATGCTTTGGCGGGTTTCAAGTGGCAAATGCTCTATTGAATCCAGAAAAACGTTCTGAAGGAACTGTAAATAAAGTTCACCATTTAATTGTGGCAGTAATACGCATGGTCTAATCAAGAAATTGCCGATTATTCCTGCCCAAATATTAATTAATTGGAACTGATGTTAATAATGATGAACAGTAGTGGCGTGGGAATTTCATCAACCCATACATGCGAGTTATGTAAATTTACAATACCATTTTTGGTAAACCCTGCTTCATCGGTAAAAAGAATAGTGCTAATGAAGTTTCTGTTTGTTCGTCGCTGATCTAACAGCCAGTTTGCGAACTGGATTCTTCGAGAAAAATCTTCAGGAATTAGTTGATGCAATTTTTGCAGATGATAAGGGTATAACAACTGTTTTTTAAGTACTTTAGCAATTGTCGTTTTTGACACATGAAGCTGCGCGGCTAATTTTCTAGTGCTTATTGAAGGAGTATCAGCTACAGTATCCAAAATATTTTCCTCCAGTTGCACCGTTCTTGTCACACCAGCATCAGTACTTGTTTTCCCAAAACTTCCTAAAAATTATTAAAGAAAGTAAATAATGTTACCTTATTAACTGGAAATCGCCCACCAGTCTCTCTTAGACGTTGGTCAAGTCGCTGAAATGTTTTCTCATTTGGAATATTGCAATTAGGATACCTTTCTTCATACAACCTTCTTGCTTCATAAGCATTGCAAGATGCAAGACCGTACATAAGATGCATATATGCATACTCACTAAATGTGTATCCCATTATCGATTTAAATTTACCAAGATATTCAAAATTCAATAAATTAATATCGAAGCACTAAAACAGCCATACTCAACCTTTTTTTTTTCTTCGGGCCACATTCGTATATGTGCTATGATAGACGGGCCGCAATATTTTTGGATGATGATCTTTTTTTAGGACATCTATCTAAAATTAGTTAGTGGGTTCCTCTAATAAATAAAATACAAAACATAAATATATCCCGTTGTGTTACTGCAAAAACAAGATAACTCACATTTTTAGAGTTTCGATAAAATACTATTCAAACATTTAAAACTGAATAAAAAATCAGTAAAAGCTTCAAACCGTTTATTAACTTCAATGAAGAAGGTATTGAAAACTTTAGCTCTACATAGAAATCATAATTCAATGTATGTGTCATTATCTTCAGTCAAAGTTTCAGTAACATTATTGGATACAGGTAGATTGTGATAATAATGGTGAAATTCATCAGGTGCATCTGATTTTGCAAGATTTTAGTTAATCTTTCTTCTTGCACTTTTATTGTAAGTATTTTCATGTTTCATCCTTTCATGCATCCCTCTGAATAAATACTGTGCGAGTTTGGCATATAAAGCCGAATTCCCCACCCTCGCCCATTGATAAATTAAATCTATTTTTCTGGTGGAATGTATTTAGGATAGCTGCATCTTTCGATACGTTGTCTATTAGAAAGTATGGTTAAAATTCATATTCGCCTAATACTTTTATTTACGAATTTTCACATAAAGATTCGCTCGTTACGGCTTGACGGATCACTCGTTACAGCTTGACCAATCACCCGTTACGTCTTAACCAATTACTCGTTCACCACGGAGATTCGAACATCACCTGTTATTATCTAGTAGTTGTTTAAGGTTAGCTGTATCGTGGAAAGAAAGGGTGACGTAATCATCTCGTGTATTTCGGAACAATGGGGAAAGGCCAGACGGCTCTAGTCATAACAAAACAAATGGTGTAGGCACAATGTTGTAATATTTCAACAAAAATAAGTAGCGGCAAACCACTCCCGAAATACTGGTACGTTTTTACTGGAAATCACCGAAACCACTACATATTTTCTCGAAAATTCCAAAATCATCATCTAAAATCATGGTCGAAATAAATTCGTCGCTCACAACCCGAAATGGCGAGAAAAAAGATCATCGTATAAATTGAAGGTGGATTTTCAGTAAAATCACCTAAATTACATAAAAAATTTTTAAGTGATTTCCGAAATACAGGTACATTTTGACCTTATTGGTTTCCCCTCGGTTCTGGCCTTTATCTTGTTTTGGCAGGAACACTAATAAGAGTCGGACTAAATTTATTTAGCAAAAATAAGTTATATGTCTATTATCTGGTTTTGATAGACACATTTAACAATTATTGAACACAATGTTATGATTATGTTTTGGTATAAATGCCACTCCATCTTATTTGTCCACATTTTTACTGTATTAACATGGAGTTATTTTTCATTAGCTATCTGTTTATCATATTATCATAATAATAATATAATAATAATAATAATACTCTCCCTAATTCACCCCCTTACGAGTGAATTTTAACCCCAAAAGCTGAGCTTTTCCGGAGAAAGGGACGGCTATTATTATTATTTGCCGTGGTGCTCATGAATATAGACTTCTTTCACACTTGTAGAAAGTGTACCTACTTAACTCGAAAATTCCAAAAGTGGAACTATCTTGTTTTTGTAGTAACACCACAAAATTCCAAACGTTTATTTAAAAATTAGCATGCGACTAATATTAGTGTTGCGGGCCACAAAAAAAGCTTGGAGGGCCGCATGCGGCCCGCAGGCCGCAGGTTGAGTATCGCTGCACTAAAAGATCAACTTGTCAACAAGATTTAAAATACACACGTCAATGTAATTATTTATTTATTTCGTAGGTACCATAGTAACGTTCGTAAAAACAGTACGTTTTTTAATAATAATAATAGTTCTATTTCAATGACTTTCGTATCACACTTTGCTGCAGACAAAAAAAATTGGAAAACATGGTTTCTTTTTAATAAAAAAAAACAATAATTCTTTTATAATTTTTTTTCTTCTCGAAAACGGTTAATTTTATTGAAAATGAAAAAGAGTAGCTTTTCTTTAGCTTTTCTTTTGGGTATCGAAATTTATTTTTTTTAACTCCTTATCATACAGGGTATTAAAAAGGTAACCATTAAAATGTACAACCTAGTCCGCCCCTGGTAAACTAAACAAGCTAATTATGTTTTAAGGGCAATATTTTAAAAGGTTACTACTGTTTAATTTTCATTAAATTAAATTTTTGAAAGTTATTCAAGAAAAATTGATTTCCAGTTGCGTCCTTTTGGAGGTTGTATCTCCTTAGGGAGGGCCGCTAGGACAAAACTTTATGGGAACTTGTCATCTTATTTTTTAATGTTCCATCTGAATCCGAGAGACCTCCCATATTTTTCCTCCAATATTTTCGATTTATTATAAAAAACAGTTTTATTAATTGCAAAATTAAATGTAATTGGTATATTTATGGCCAAAAGTATTAAAAATGGTTTTTTCATGGTAGATGGATAATATTTAATATCTGACCGTAATTTTTAATTTGAATCAAATTTTCTTAGTAACGGTTTTCGATATTGTTAAAATTAATATTTTTCGCCAAACCCGTACATGACCATGAAAAACTTTTTACGAAGAATAACTTTTTTTTATGAAATTAATAATAAAAAGTTTCCCATATGGTGTCGAATTAAGTAAACAAACTGTATAACACTATTTCTCAAACCTTTGAAATAAAATCTATAGCAATCGGAAGTCCGCCCCTACACATTTCGTAATTTCCCAATGCCAAAAACGTGCTCGGTTCTGCTTCCTCGGGAATTTGCAAAGCTTTAGATCGATCTTGTTTCCGTTTTAATTTCAAAGAGTGTTTAATGTCCTTCGATCCTAAATTGACTGCGGCTGCTCTATCTTTATCACAATAAATTTCTTCATATCGAATTCCTAGTCGTCTTCTTCTTCTCTTTTTCTTTCCGTTTTCTTTGGGGTCATCTGCAAATTGTTTCGATAGCCTTTTAGATGTTTCTACTGGGATTGTTTGTTTGCTTTTCATTTCACCATCTACACATAGAATATTTATTTGTTGAAAAAATCATATAGGTATTAAATTAATTTAATATTGAGTCGAATCGCAAAGCTTGACGTTTTTCTAATAATACCTTAACTTTTTACAAATTATAATAGATTAATATTTGATTTCTTTTCTACAATGATTTTGGAATCTAGGCAAATAACGTTTTTTTCAGCTCAACGTCTTGTTTTATTTAGTCGAAATAATTTCAATAGTTCATTTCATTATAACTTCGTTACTCAGTTAAAGGATCAAAAAGTTAGAAATTAAAAATATATTTTTCTGTCACCTTACGAAAAACATCGACATTAATTAGAGAAAATCCTATACCGTTAAGTTTTATTTTTAATGAAGAAAGTAAGATGCATATCATATACTATTTTGGCAGCTTATAATTAATAATAATAAGATAAGATAAAGCTCATTATATAAATGAGTGTGCTAATATTAAATTAAAAACAAAATAAAATTATAAAAACAGTTTAAAATTTAAAACAACCCGCATCTAGTTGTCTGGTGTCAGTTATTTATTTGTCTAAACCAGTATTTCCCAAAGTGGTCCAGGTGGACCCCCAGGGGTCCACGGGAGACTCGACGGGGGTCTACGTTAGGCGTAATAAAAAATGGGGGTCCACAATCGTAAGCGGGGGTGCATGAAAATTAATTTGGTTTCGATAGTGAAGCAATATACTATTAAACAATTGATTACTCATTTTTCTATGTGATGAAGAAATTCTTGTAAAAAACTTCAACTGTTTATAATATAAACAGTCAACATTTTAGTTACTAAAATGTTGACTTAAGAAGCTCAGCGACTGCTACTTGTAAAAACTTGCATATTCCATATTCAGTACAACGCGTCGAGACTTGTCGTTGCCGCGCTAGCCGCCGTCCCGTCCGCAACGCGCTTGTTGCAGACGTGCAAATTAATACGACTTGTGGTGTATGTGCTTGCAATCTTGCATGAACGTGTTTGATTCTTCGCCAATATAAATACGAATGTCAAGGATAATCGTTACTCACTTGTTTCTGGAATTTCATAAAGAAAAGTGAATCGATATTAGTGTTGGCCAGTGACTGAATTTGTTTCCAGACTTTCGAAAAGAAAAGTAAAGTGAATCGATATTAGTGATTGCCAGTGTCGGAAAAGTAAGTACCTACCTGCCTATTTGTTATATGAATATAGTTTTAATCCGAGAAAGATTGAACATATCGTCTCTAATTTATTTTTATTACCTATCTAATTCATTTAATTATTGTGGAGTTTTTATATCAAAATATTGTTTAAAAGTTTCTATAGAATTTACAGAAATATATTAAAATATAATAAATGAAATAATAATTTTATATCACATTAAAATAAGTTTAGCCGTTTTCATAAAACTCTATTATGGATCTTAGCGATTTATTGGTTTTAATAATTAGAAACAGTTTGCAGCCGGGACTTCGTTTATTTCATAAGATTTATAATCATTGATTAATCATATTATGTTAAAATAGCCATATCCTGTTAAGTTGGAATCGCCTTAAGATTATTAAAACAAAGTTTTTTTTTATTTACTTACACATTTACAGGTAGGTAATTGATACAAAACATGGCCGAATCTAAGAAGAAGCGTCGTCAGTAGTGTTGAATATTTAAACTTTGGTTTTCTTCCATCAAAGGCAGACAAGCGATTGCCCACATGCCTTTTATGCAACAAAGTTTTGAGCAATGACTCTATGAAACCATCAAAGCTGGAAGATCATCTAAGAAGGTGTCATCCTGATAAAATAGGTAAAGATTTGAAATATTTCCAAACATTAAAGGAAAAATATGAAAGAGACCCACCGTGCCCAGTATGTTCTCTTCAACGTCTGAAAGCAACGATGATGGCTTACGGGTATCTTACAATATCTCATTACTAATCGCAAAATCTGTAAAACCGCACACCATTGGAGAACAGTTAATTTTACCTGCTGTTAAAGAGGTTTTAAAAACTGTTCTGCACAAATCTTTATTTGACATCCTCAAAAGAATTCCTTTGAGTAACAACATTGTACAAAGACGTATTGAACGTATTGATGAAATGAGCTCTGATGTTGAAAGTTTCTTGGGTGATTATCTGCGAACAACTCATTTTTCTATTCAACTGGACAAGTCGACTTTACCTGGCAATGAAGCATTATTATTGGCCTATGTTCGATTTGTTATGGGCGAAGAAATTCATGAAGAGCTACTATTTGCCAAAACTTTGAAGACAAACACTAAAGGTGAATCAATATTTAAAAATCGATTCCATTTACAAACGTTATTTCGGTGGCAACAGATGGAGCTCCTGCCATGGTCGGGCAATATCGTGGGTTTATAAGCCATCTTAAAAGAATTATACCAGAGGTAATTGTGATTGACTGTGTTATCCACCGACATCTAGTAGCGAAAAATTTGAGTGATAGATTGCACCAATCGCTTTAATTTGTGATTAATGTAGTTAACAAAATAAGAAGAAATGCATTGAATATGCGTTTATTTGCTCAATAGTGCGATGAAAATGATGAAGACTTCCAACGATTGCTGTTACATACCGAAGTACGCTGGTTGTCGAAAGGTGCATATTTATCAAGATTTTATTTACTTTTTGACACAGTTTTAGAGTTTTTGGAAAGTACAGATCCTGATTTAAAAAAAACTTGATCAATTTTAAAGTATACATCGCGTATTTAAAAGATTTGTTCAAAAAATTTAATGACCTCAACTTACAATTACAAGGGGACAGCCTCAATTTAATAAAAACAGTATAATTTCAGCTTTTATTGGTAAATTGAAATTTATGAAGGACAATATTGGTCGGAGCGAATTTTCACAGTTTTCAAACTTGTCGCAGGTAGAATGCCTTGATGAAAATATTCAGACATACGTTCAACATTTGATTGCCCTGCATGATGATTTTAAATTCAGATTTGAAGATATTCTATCGATGGAAATAACCCCATGGATCATAAATCCATTTAATGAAACGGAAGTAAAGAATGTGATATTCAAGAGAAGCTACTCGAGCTCAGCACTAATGAGGAGCTGAAAGTGACATTTAAAAGAGGGTATCAAAAATTTTGGCTGCAAGCAGAGATACCCGAAAAATATCCTGGACTGTGGGGAATTGTGCAAAAGCTTCTGATAGCGTATCCCTCGTCATACCTCGTCGAAAAAAGTTTTAGTGCCGTTACAAACTTATTAATAAAAAAAAGAGCAGATTGAATATCACAGAAAGGGGATATTTACGGTTATTCCTTACAATACTTAAGCCAAATATTGGAAATTTGCTGTGAGTCCATCAGTGGCTGCATACAATAGAAGCATAAAAGCATTGCCTACCCTAGAAAAATTACCAATACAATATACATATTTTTTTAATTAACGATACAAAATAATGAATTACTATCTGTCTTAGTCCTCTCACAACTCGTAATATAATATAATAAATTAAAATATTATATTCATCTCGCCCCTGCTGCAACAGAGTACCTATTCTTGAATCTCAGGGAGTAGAACTGTTGAGGGAAGAATGAGAGAGAAATACAAATTTTGTGCGTTGCGGATAAAGAGGAAAAACAGGTTTTCTATTCCCTCAAATTCAAGAATAGCTACCCAGGTATGCTCCGCTCTCCGCTCTACTCTGAATAAGCATCCCATTTAACAAGAAAGACAGGCAATTTCAACTGATCAATACTAATTCAAATAGAGTACATAAGCAGTGCTTATGGTGTCGAACAGTGTCGATGTGACCCGTCCGATAACGAAGACACTTATTCACATATAAATATTCGCGATTCAAGCTAAGTGATACGCCCTCTGGAGGAAATAAGTAAAAGGTCCCTATAAGTAGGATGACGTTCAGTGTTGCCAGAAGCAGCAAAATTTCGTACGTCGGATTTTAGTTTTTGAAGAAATGGATAAAGACCTTTTATTTAAGAATCAAAATTTGTGTCTAGTAATATGTAATCATACTATTTATTTAAGGATTTTTTTATAAAATCGATTTATTATATTGATTTTTTTTTAATAACAGTTCATTTATTAATTTTAGTTTTAAAATCAGTCAGAGACAAAATCAGTTCATCATTTGGCAACATTGGCGTTCGTGTTCATTGTTTACATTTTAATTTGTATCAATTACAATTAGAGTTTTTTGTTACTTTTTAACTTTAAATTTGTTTATTTCTTATAGTATGTGATAGTATTTAAATTAAAAATGAAATCTGCGAAAAAGCCTCCAGAAAATTGAAATCTGTATGGTGTTATTGTCAAAATCAAAACTGGAGTATTCATTATTTTTCAAGTGCAAGTCATAAAATTCTGTTTCTTACGATAACTGGGTATCTACAAATTCACAATATTGAAATTTTGCAAAACGTTGTTTAGAATCAAACTCCAATATGAGTTGTGACGGTTTTATTACCATTTACATGTATACAAAGTACTACACAATTCACTTCATGATATAAGAATAAGGATAGTAAGATTTTTAAAGAAGTTCATCAATAATAAACGTTTGGTACCTGATATGTCCTTTAAACCACATAATAAAACATGTCCTGGGTTTAGTAAATACATATTTCTAGATGTTCTTGTAGCAACCAATAGGTCAATATTTCCAACAAATTAGTTCGTACTACACATGAACAATTACATTTATAACGAAAGCACGAAAACTAAACTTAAATTAACAC